TATTTTTAATGTGTTTTGGACCAAATTGTTGTAAGACATTTTTTAAGCAAGCACAAGTTGTGCCAAATACTAGGCATTTTCAGAAGCACAATCACAAGCATTTATTGCTTCCTAACAACTAAAATTGCTTTTTCTTTTTTTCAAGAAGCTGTTGGCTTCCTTTAATGAAATTTTTGACAATTATTAAGCAATTGGACAACCAATTTTCTCCTTCCTTATTTTAATTGATTTTTACTCATCATAATGAGCTATACGTCCCTCCTTCATTTCTCCTTATTTTTCATTATCTTTTCTGTCAATCATAATGCTACTCTATCACTAAGTTGGTTGTTAAATAGCAGCTAGCCATTTGTTCAAGGCTTGATGTCACTTGCCAGGGTTCACCATCCCAGAAATTCACAATTATCATGATCATGGATTCCACTTTTACAATTATCATGATCATGATCATGGATTCCTCTTGAGTAGCGTCAACCCCTCATCTGATCTGATATTGCAACAATCCCATGAAAGCCAGCCTACTACCCACAGGCCCACATGATCATGGATTCCACTTTTACATCAACAGCCTAAAATAAAAACAGTAAACTTTTGCAAAATCCTTTGAAAAGGGCTTACTACACTATAACCTTACAGTAAGAGGAACTTACTTAGGAGGAGGAAAAGGGAATCCATATATGGTATCTGTAACCAATCCAAGCGTAACAATAGTGGCAAGTTAACAAAAATAGGTTGAGTAAAACGTCAAAAAGGGCGAGGGTAAAAGTAAAACTCCAGAATCACTCAAGGAGAAAAGGAAAGTGCCAAAATTATAAAACAAACCTAAAGTTTGTCCTCCTCCAACCCCAAGCATGAAAAAGAGCACCTTTCTTTGAGCAATGCTAGCACAATCAATCCTTATTGATCTTCACTTTTTTGGTCTTTATTGTTCTACACTATAACCTTTTAGATGACTCTTCAAAATTCGTCCAGCTGCAAGGACAAATATAAAAGTCCAAGAAAACCATCATAAACCAAATGAGGAATTCCATTCAGTTTCATTCCATGACTAAAAGCCTTTGCCTGTGTTTACTTGTCTTTCTCTTTATGTAAATAGCCTTGCTATCTTTGTATCTGCATTAAGTGAAAATCAGCTAAAGGTAAAGCCAAACAAAAAGAGAAGGAAGAAAAATTCAAAATGATCATGTCTGAACATGTTTATTTTACATTACTTGGGTAATGTGCATTCTCAAGAACCTTTATGTGGTGGCATTGTATTGTCACCTACTCACCTAAGAACATGACAGAAATGCTAAACATGAATTGGCATAAATATTGCATTTGATACCAAGGAGGAATACATGAATTCAACCAATTTAAAGCCATGATAAGGCAGTTTCTGCTTTTATAAAAGTTCATTATTATGCGTGTGATTGCAACTAAGCCAAGATACGGCAAAACCACTTGCTGTACCCAGTGAAAATACATTAATTTCTAATACTTCATACATGTATGAGATTGCAAGCCACTGTTCATATCGTTCACCTGCCATGTCTCCAATGCTATATATATTTAACAACATGAAATTGAGAAACTATGCAAGTAAGAATGTCAAATTTGTTTTTTTTTTTTATTTAAAAATGTAAATTTTGTCAATTACTAATTAAGGTGATAAATTTTTTATTTTTTTATTTAAAAAGTAATTAGATAGTAATAATTACATGGCAAACACAAAGTTGGCATATTTACATAAAAAAAAAATGCAAAATTGGTATTTTTAAATAAAAAATGTTGAAAGTTTATAACCTTAATAAGAAACAAGTAAAATTTGCATCCTTAAATAGAAAAAATTGTAAACTTGACAACCTTATCACATTTTCTCCCATGAAACCTGAATGACATTCCCATTTCTCCTTCCTCATTTTGATTGGTTTCTATTCATCATAATGAGCTATTCATCTTGGCTGACTTGCAATTACACTTATGTATGAATTATTGGAAAGAATGAATTTTCAGTAGGTACAAAAATGTAGAAACTGGTTTTGCCATATCTTGGCTCTAAATTGGTCAAATTCATGTATTCCTCCTGGGTTTCGATTCACATTTTTACACCAATTCATGTCCAGCATGTTGTTGTCATGTTCTTAGGGGATTAGTGATAATGCAATGCTATAAGAACTAGTCTCCACCTAGGCTCTTGTGAATGCACAAACATGGCTTCACCCATATAGAGCAGTGAAACATACATGAATTAACAAGATCCCACATATAATAACTATTTTTTTATAACAAACCTTTCGCCTGAATTTTATTTTGCAAAATTGTAAGTCCCTACCATCAGCCACTATAACTATTTATCTTCTTTGATGCTTATTCCGCAACCACTGATCATCAATTGCTTTGTAACTATAATTGTTTTTCTCCTATAATGTGCTTAGTCTCCCTATAATGTCCTTTCAATCTTTTGGATTAGTAAAAAGAGACAAAGAAACCTCCCACCACATGTTTATTTTATCGAGTATTGTTGTTGCCTGCAGTCTACAGTCTTCTGACAGACAAATCTATGGAACCTTTGATTAAAAAGTTTGGGCACATATTGTCTTTACAATATCACAACTAAGATATCCAAATGGCAAGGCAACACATGTAAACAGGCAAAACATTTTAGTCATGAACTTGGAATGAAACTGAATGGAATTTATTCTCACATGTCTGTACAACAAAATGGTAGCAAAGCCATCTTTGCTCAAGTAAATGATGCATTGCTAAACGCTTAAAACAACAAATAATTCAAAAAATAATGACAAGTCGAAATCCAATTCCACGAGAAGCCATCCTGACATTGTAGTCATCAATTAATCTACCTCTTCCACTCACATTGCATTCCGTCTTGCTTCAAACATTATGCAAGCTGCAGACTGAAGGCAAAGATCGAGGTACCACCAACATCCACCTTTTAAATAATTTATAATCTATGGTTCCCTCGTCTGCTACATGCAGAACATTTCAAGGAAAACTAGAAAAGCCCTCAAACCTGATAGGATGATGTTCCATCATAATCAGCAATATTCTTTGACCGTTAAAGCAATCCTCGTAAGGCCATCCAAGCCAATATGTTTTTGAGATTGAAGAGAAGCCAAGCCAATGGATAGTGATCGGCATCTAACCTCCAAGGAAAACAATTCAGTCGAACACCATGCAAATAAAAGATCTCTCTTCAATGATGACTTGATATCGAAGCTCCACACTCCTGAACATATTGCTAATTGTTCCCTTCATCAGATTATTAGATAGTAAGAGCCAGAAGATATGTTAGTCTTCACTAGGCTGATTTACATCCATCCCTGTCTCAGATGGATCTCCACAATCAACTATTTCTCTTTGATACTCAAATGATGTGCACGAATCATCTTGAATATCATAATCATCTGCATGAGTTTTTTGCATCTTACCCAAAACTAGGAAGCCACTCTCATTTCCACTAGTGAGATGTTCAATGTGGGGTTCAGAGATTTCATCTATATCTCCCTCATCTTCCCCATCAGTTCTATCTCTGCATACAGCACCTGACAGATCTTCACAAGAATCCATCTCATCCTCATCCTGGATGCCTTCATGGCAATCTTCAATATGATTATCATTATGGTAGGCAGAAACAACTTGATCAGGTGGAGATTCAACTACTGAGTCGTCATCTTCTACAGCTGATTCATGTTCAGGTTTCTGCCACTCATCATCATCACTATCAATGTTGACAGGGTCAAATCGATTCTGTTTGGCACGTTTCCTGAGCACATAGACATTAAAATAATAGCTGACAAGGTCCTCCTTTGTTCGAGACAGGAAAAACCGAGGGAGATCGTCCCAAAAGTTCTTGCCCAATGACATAGGGTTGGCAAGCACAACCTCATGGAATTCTTGCTCTTCTTCTTGCGTCCATTTTTTCGCAACCTCCTCTCCCATGTCGTAGAAACCCAATTGCTCAAAAATATCAAGTCCAAGGTTCTCCTTAAGTTTCTCCCTAGCTTCTTCCACATGTTGTGCTGTGCATCTGACAGAACCCTGATCAAGGCACTGACAATCAAATTTGTTTCTCCAACCTTCACAAGAATAGTTTTGAGGAGCTTCTCTGTCAGGCATGGGAATGACACAAGTACCAATAAGGTCTGATTCTGATGATAGTGCAGTTTCAACTTGAGAGTCTAAAGTATCTAGATGATTTGAAGTGCTCTTCAAAACCCATTGATTCCATTCTGGAACATCAGCTTGATACTCTGATCCAATAGGAACTAGTCTCCGATGAGAATAATCAATAAGAGATGAATAGGGCTCATCACACTGAAGTAAAGCCCTTAAACCATGTCCAGGTGCAAAATACTCTGGAAACAGTGACAAATTAAGTGGTGTCTCTAAGTCAGCATCTGCTTCCATAATATTTCTGTTTACCCACAAAAAATGGGGAATGCAGCTGGAAGCATCAACTCCATTTTCATTGCATTTACTGAAGCTGTCCCCATCTTCACCTTTTCAAAAAGGCTCTAAGTCAGTTATACAAGCTGATTGGTTCAGTTTCACTGGATCAGTATGGTTATAAAACCTACAAATCTATGCCGATGTAACTAATAAACAGATGAAAGCAACAAGAAATGTAAATTAGTTTGTGGACTCAACCAGATTTGTGCACTAGATTTATAAGATGAATGCTATCTACAAATCCACATTTTATGCAAAATGAAATGGTGAAAATCATATATAGGCTTTGCTAGACAACATTTCACCAATGAAACAATAAAAAAAAATCCACTTGGTTTTCATTTTTGCCTCTGTGAATACATATAGTAATACGAATGCAGTCACCTAAGAAGCATGCATTTCTGTTGGTTAACATTTCAAAAGAATAACAATCACATTGCAATTAACAAAAAGTCTTCTTTATGATTTATCTGATTACATCATTTACAGAACAACAGATCTAAAAGCCCTGGGTTAAGATGCCTATGAACTATGATGTCACTGGAATCCGCATGCCATCCTAAAAGGAAAGTAGCATGCTCTTAAGTCTTAACTTAGTAAAGCACAGAAATAATACCGGAGATTAGGGAATTCTTGTGGCAATCATAAGGAATAAACCCATTGACAACTTGTGAAAGGTGATTGGTGCTCTCCAGTCTTTGGTTCTTACAAGCAACCTCCTGAGAATCCTCTTCAACATAGGGACGCTTGTGAATCATTTTGATCCTGCAAGTCCAAAGCAACTATATTTCAGAGTGAAAATTTCAGAACTTAATGCACTTAGATGCTTTAAAAATCTATTCTATGTACAAGTATCATAATGCAGCGAATCTAACCTCTACATAAAATAGATAACAGAAAAAGTAAGCTTCAAAGAGGAGGATAATTCCAGAAAAAGCTTACAAATGGATGAAGAATCGAGAAACACTAGTCCAAAAGGCACAAAAAAGAATCCATAAAGGCAGCATTGTATTTAGCAATAAAAACAAGACTGGTAAACAAATCAAAATCCTTAAAATCAGCATAGAATAGTAAAACAATTACAATACAAAAAAAAAAAAAGTGTGGAGGCTAACATTAACATGCATCATCCCATTCATTATAACAATATTAACAGAGAATGTAGGGAATCAAAAGTTGACTAAACTGAAAAACCAAAACATGAGCTTAAGATAAGCAACTGAACCATATACCTAATAAGGCATTAAAAGTGCAAATTTCAATTTTGTATGACTGAGATGCATGAGCTGGTTCTAACCTGAAAATAGCAGTCCAGAAAATTTGTTTACAGTTGAGGGAGCTGAGGATAGGTAGACTGATTCGAAAGCAATGAAAATAGTGGGGCGGGAATTACAGAATGATTTAGAAGGAAAAACGGAAAGGAAAAAGCAACAGAAGAACCTTGTGTATGAAAAGTAACACCAATAAATTTCAACGATATTCAAAAAGAATCCACGAAATTCAACGGCACTGACAGAGCCGAATCAAAAGAAAAAGTACAAAAATTCAAACAACCCAGATGAAATTCAATCAAGAAAAGTGATATATAGCCTTTAATTTAATCAGATCAGAGGAAAATGTTTACGAAAATCGAATAAGTATCAGGAATTCCCAAAACCCTAACCCTAGAACCGAATTCGGGCACGGCGAAGGATGATGTTGGGATCAATCGATAAAGGAGAGAAAGAATCGAAGGAAGAAAGAATCGAATTGAAGAAAACGAGCAGAGAAGCGAAGGATATTGGGTTTAGAAGAGGGGGGTATCGATGATTCGAAGCGGATTGGGGGAAGCAAAGGGGAAGGTGTCTTATAGAGTCTCAGAGCAGGTGATCTAAGCCGGCTGACGCGAAAATTCAAGTTACTAAAACAGGCAAGAATCTGCGCGAAAATTACAGGTGATGCCACTTTGGGATTCTGGTCTGGGCTTGCGATCTAGACATGTCCGGTGAAGGTGATGTAATGTAAGAAGAATTTTGTTTTGCGTCACGTGCAACATCTGTTTTTACACTAACTGGCTACCGACCTACCCCTCCTCACAAATTTGACCAGTTCCACGCTCTCCTGTTTGTATATTTTCATTATAGGGATAATTATGTATATATATTTTATTTCGTTTATGAAAGATAATTATTTTTTATTTTTTTATCTCATCTTATTTATATATCATATGATTTGAATTTAAAATTTTTTATTTTTAACAAAAAAAATTATCATTAACTAATTAGATCGTTTACTTTTATATTATGTTTAATATAATTTTTATATATTATTAAATAATTAAATATATTTAATATTATAAATTTTATATATAAAAAATTTTAATTATTTAAATAACATATTAAATTATATTAAAAAATAATAATAAAAGTATCTCAAAACCACTGTTTTATTTTTATTTTGGCCCGCCACTTTTTTTTTTTAACCTTTTAGCCCTAGATTAAAAAAATTGAATTTTTCTAATTCAATATTCTAAAAAGCACAGATGCAATTAATGCATTGTTAAATCATATAAAAAATAAAAAGTTAATTTTAATTTTAACATCAATATCACTTTTATTAATTTGACTAAATAGTTTCCTGAATTAAAATTAAATTTTATTTTTAGGTAAATTAATGACTAAATAATATTTAGCCTAGAAATTAATTACTCACTATACACTTTACAAATAGCTAAACAGTATTTAGCTTGGGGATAATCTAAATCTTATTACTTTAATCCTTGATACTCAATACTTGATGTTCATCCACATCCACATTACACTCCTGATCACGTTGGAAAATCAAAGACATTAGAGGAGATCATTTTTTGGGTACATGAGGAGAAGAATTTATTTTAAAGAAGTAATGAGGTTTCATTATTCTAATATAAAGAATAAAGATGACATATAATTTAAATTTTCTAACAAAAACAAGTAACAGATTTGGTGATATCTGTTGAGTAGTTTGCAAATGTTAAGGTCCCACATCAAGAAAATATAGGAAGTTAAAGGAATTTATAAAGACTTATTTGTTATCAACAAATAGATAAATAAAGTGAAATCCAAGATAAATTGGACCTTGCCCTTTATATATAGTCAAAGATGGGCACTTGGGCACTTCCAAAATATTTATTTTTTATTTTCGGATTTTTAATCTGAAAAGACATCTCTGAAAAATCAGATAACCTTTGGAAGTCTAAAGGTACCTCTATAAAATAGTATCTTTCTGGAGAGATACATCCCTACAAGTAGTAGCTTTTCAATCAATATAAATTCCTATGCAAAGTAAAGTTCTACATCTAGTTTTTGAGAGAGTTTGAGTTCTGTTGTATCATGGAGGATTTTTGAATCCTTAAGGAGAGTGAGATCAGGCCTCAGAACTATCTATTTTTTCATTCTGATAATCCTTATCTTCAACAATATCATCAATACAACAATGCTGGCAAAACAGAGAGCCTCTTACTGTGACCATGATGCTAACTCCGATTATCCTTTAACGAGTACGGGAAAGCAAGAAGCAACATGATCCCATAAGAAAAAAATAGCAAAGAATAAAATCAACGGCCTCATCAGGCTGTGACGCCAAGACCCGCAATACAAACCATCGAACCAGTGTGTCACATTTATGCTACAGCAGACATGTCCTTGAGCCATGCATCGAGTGGCTTACCAATTGAGTAGGGGATGAAGAACCCGTGTGGTCCAAGTAGTCACTTAATCATTGATTAAAAAACATCTTATCTTAAGTGTGAAGTTCAATCTCCATCTGTTTCCGCATTCCCTCGTTGTGGCTGTGGCCATTACTGTAAAAAAGGCAGTCAGTGGATTGCATCTTTATCCAAATTCAATATCTCTCATTAACAATTCTAACCTTACTAATCTCTAACCATTGTCCTTGTTAAAAAAAAAAAAAAAAAATAATTATAATAACTAATAATTATTAAAAAAAAAGTACAGGATGAAACCAATCCCCTTGCGTGTCCACATTCACAATGTTCCTTCCACCAGAAACAAAAAGCTGGGCTAACAAGCCCTTAACTGAACAGCTGCGTTTATAAGGTAGGACTGCAGCCCGTAGGAATAAATTGACCCATTGGGCTAACAAGCCCTTAACTGAGAATTTAAGACCCATTACTGGAAAGTCCAAAAAAGAAATCCGAGGCCCAAAAGAAAAATAGGGAAACAACAGAAACTTCGGGAGAAATTAGGGGTATTTCCGTAATATTACTCGATTTTTTCGGCATAACGGATGTTAATAAAATCAGCCACCCTGATTTTTCTGTTACCTTAATCCAACGGCCAAAACACAAGCGGAAAAAAAAATGAAAAATTCAAATTAATAATCCAACACCGCAGGAAAACTAGCCGTTACATAGAGCGTCTAAACCCTCAAGGCCTCAACGTCCCTTTTTTTCTCTGCTCTTCCCCAAACTAATAATCTAACTTCTGAACTTTTTTTTTTTCATTTGATCAATCAAAAAAACAAAACCCTCAAATCAGTTTCTTTTTTCTGAGTGATTTTTCCGATGGAGGTTGCCAGGAACTCGAAAATGGGGACTCCGGTGAAAGATTCTCATGGGTCTGAGTCTAGGATGCGGAAAATTTCCAGATCATCTGAGAATTCGAACCCCAATGTATCCAATTTAAGTCCTAGCCTGAAATCATCGAAATCGCCGTTAACCAAATCAGGGAAATCTACGAAATCTGTATCCAAGATTCAGGGTACAGACACTGCTCTGAATCCAGTTCCCTTTTCGCTGAGAAACAAGATTAGGGAGAGGAAGTTCGTGGTAGCGAAGAAGAATTCGAAGAAAGAGAAATCGGAGACGAATACAGTAGTCGATTGCAAGTGCAGGGAGAGATTCGGAGGGAATGTCAAGAAGTGTGTTTGCGTTGCGTATGAGACTTTGAGGGCATCACAGGAGGAGTTCTTCAAGAACCGGCCTGCTCTCGAAGAGGATGGTGGATTAAATGATGCGGAGTCTGTGGACAGAGCTGAGATTGGTGTTGAAGAAGAGGCAGAGAAGGGCGTTTCGATTCATAATCTTGAGATTCAATGTGACTATGGATCGGATAAAGAGATCGAGAACTCGAGCCAAAAGGATAGTTCTATTATCATCAAGAGAAGGAGGGACAGGGTGCTAGAGGAAGCAAGGAATAGTGTGCCGGAGTTTGGGAAAGTGATGCACTTGGTTCAGGCGTTCGAGAAGATTCTGTCAATACCGAATTCAAAGGAATCGGAAAAGAATGATGAGAAGGCGGCGGAAGAGAATCAGATCGATACCAAGAAGAAGCCAATCAAATGGGCATTACCTGGTCTGCAGCCACCAACCGAGACACGGTTCTCATCTTCTTCACTATGTCCATCAGATTTGGTGTTAACGGCAGAGAACCTCGGTTTGGATTCTCATTTCCCAGTGTCCTCTTCATGGGATAGCAACCATGGAAGGTTAGTGCTGCCATTGTTTTGATCATATTGATTCAAATTTCCACACAATATATTCACTCTCTTTGAGTTTTGCAGCATCTGCAGCAGGACTTCCAATGGTGGCCGCAGAAGCAGAAGGAATGTATGTTTTCTATTCAATTCTACTTCTTCATTTCATGGTTTCTGCCTTAGATAGTATTTGGAAAGGAGTAGTTTTTATGTGTTCTTCATTTTTTATGACATTTTTTTTTTTTGTATTTATGCTTGAAATTTAGAGCTCTGACTCTTGCGGGACAATGGGTGGAAGGAGATGGAAAAAGAAGCCGCTTAAAATCACTAGCCAAAAACCATTTAAGTTAAGAACAGAGGTACAAATTTATTGTTTGACATTAGTGTTGGTGGACTATAATCATCTGACCCTTGTACTGATATTGGTTTTATTTGTTTTGACAATAGCAAAGAGGAAAAATGAAGGAGGAAGAATTTGTGAAGAAGATGCATGAAGTGATGATGGAAGAAGAAAAGCAACGGATTCCAATAGCACAAGGTCTCCCATGGACAACGGATGAACCAGAGGTGAGGCTATATTTCACTAATAATTAAACTGAAAAATAAGAGTTTCATAGGGTTCTACCGTTACTTAGACTCAATTCTTCATTTGTGCTTGTGTTACAGATCCTGATTAAACCTCCTGCGAAAGAAAACACGAGACCGATTGACCTGAAGCTTCACACTGATCTGCGTGCAGTTGAGCGCGCTGAGTTTGATCATCAGGTGTTTTTTCTAACTCATCTCACATTTGGAAAGCTAGAATTCTGATTTGTTATGCGGTCATTGTGATATGTAAGATGTTTGGTGCTCACTACTATTAGTTGGTTTAACCAAGAGACATAATTACCACCACTCTGAAAATCGAAGTTCTTCTTTATGCTTGGCGGTGTGTGTAGCTGGCTGATCTTGTTTACGCAGCTTGGTTTTGTCTAGATTAGGAGCAACAATCATTACTGTTTTTGAAGAGGTGAATGAAATTGTTTATGTGTTCCTTTGTGTGGTGATGTGATACTGATATCAGGTAGCTGAGAAGATGTGCCTTATAGAGCAGTACAAGATGGAAAGAGAGAGGCAGCAGAAGGTAAATTTGATGAAAATGATTAAATCTCAAGGTGATAATGCCAGTTATTTTTTGTTTAGCTCATTTATTTAACATTGATCTTTTGGTCTTACAGTTAGCAGAAGAAGAAGAAATAAAAAGGCTAAGAAAGGAACTGGTTCCCAAGGCTCAGCCAATGCCATACTTTGACAGGCCCTTCATTCCCAGAAGGTAAAGATCCAACACCGTCCACTTAGAACACCCTTCTGAATATTCCCAAGTTTTCAGCACTTAGAGATCATTTTCCCATTTAATTTTGCTGTCTCTTAGGTCTACGAAGCATCCCACCATTCCTAGAGAACCAAAGTTCCACATTCCACAAAATAAGAAGATTAAGTGCTGCCTTTCGTGGAATGATGTTAGTTCCTATGCTTTCCAACATCAAGGCAACGAAGCAAGACAAGCACATAATTCTTAGGGCTATTGTGATCTTGTCCTTTTATTAGTTACCAAATAACGTGATATTGTTTATCCTGGTCTTCTTCTTCTTCTTCTTCTTCTTCTTCTTTGTTTTCTTTCATTGAAATTCTTCCGTGGATTTGTAAATGAGCAACCACTTTGGTTGCAATTTTGCCTAATATAATGCAATTAGTTGGTAAACGATGGATGGTTTTGTCTGTCTGATCATCTGCAAGGGGAATACCCTATCTTCATCAGAGTGCAAGACTGCGAGATATTGAATAACCTTTGTGTTGTTCCATCGAATGGATTGCTTCTTTATTCAAGGGAATATCATGGGCAAAAATACATATCTCAACCTGTTTGACAGATTGAGAATGCAAATCGATCTAATATAGTGCTACCCCTGTGGCATCTGTAAATTGCCAATTCATTCATGAATCAGCAAAAGCCACATTCCAAGGCGGGTAAAACAGAGGCCAAAATTACAATTGTGTCAAAAAAATACCTCACTGTGAATCCTATTACATCTTGCAGGCCAATTAAATTTTCTCAATATAACAAGATCTTGACCACTTTAACCAAGAAAATTGGGCAATAATAATACTAATCTCAAGAAACATGATAGATAGGAGCAAAACTCAAAACAATGAATACCAAAATTTTTCTTCATGTCCCATCAATTGAGCAGATGGAGATGTTATAGTTTATCACAAATAGTATAAACAAGGGAGAAAATAAAAGCAGTAGCACACTGGCATCGCTAAATATCAAGACTGATAGACTGATCAGGGAGCAACAACAATCCTTCCAGCAACTTGGTCCAGATCCCTTTGTCCACTAGAGGTGATTCTTCTTCCCCTGATAAACAAAGGCGAATTGTAAGAGTGGCATCAGTATACCACGGAAGAAGCATAATAAAACATGCCAGAAAACCAAAGAGGCATGTTGGAATTACTAGCAGAAATGTAGGATCCTATGTTCAAACTCCCACCCTAGTGAGACTGAATATCAGTAGATGAAAGGCAATAAAAGACATTGGAAACAGAGCTCACCCCTTTCCATCAACTGTAGCAACAATGTTCATATTCTCCAACTGTTGAAGAATATGGCGTGCAATAGCACCACTGCTCTTGCAGAAATGGGGTGGACGGCTACCATTTCTCTTGCTTCCACCATAAATTCTCCTAAAGGCACCAACACCAAGACCGCCCCTCAAGTAGATCTTCCTTGCCATGGAGGCTGCATTCAATATAAACAAGAAATATAACAAGTAATAAGCACAACCATCAAAATATAGACCTGAGGGTAGACAAAGCTACATATCATCTAGGGCATTTCCATCTTTATTTTTTTTCCTGGTTGAATAGGATGAGAAGTGGAGAGAAAAGATAAACATACCAGCTCTGACATAGTACCAGTCAGGGTCATAAGGAGCAAGCTCCTTGAATCGAGCAGTTTTCACAATATCAGTCCAGGGAGGGAGCTCGATCTGTTTACAAACACAAGAGAAATGATATTAGGAAAGCACCACGCATGCCCCATGCTCAATAGGCATCATATAGATCCATCCATCCCTAATGAATAATTATGAAACATAGCACAGAAGAGTCCATACTTACAAACTTTTTGAACACACCCCCAAACCAAGACCAACCCATCTTCCTCTCCAAAATTAAAGCTTTTCTTTCAGGATTATGATTTATAATTTGTAAACTCTTAAGAGAAAAGAGAGCAGCAATGCTGAATGCCAACTAAATTCCAGAAAGTGCCAATGCCACTAGTGAACCATAGAGCATACTAAATTTTCTTAATTCAATAAAAAAATCCTATATCCCCAAAATTTTACAGCATCAACATGATCTAAACTTCAGCGCATCATTTTCCATGAAATGTCAAGATGCAACAAACAGGAGGAATAACAATTAATCAAGTGATTTTCAAGCAGCATGAAGTTCAGCCAACGATATCTAATACCGAACAAGAAGCACCAAGTTCCTAATCAAAAACCCAAAAACAGAAAAAGCTACTATTTCTCTAAGAAAAAAAAACCAAAAGAACCAGATTTTCTTCCCGTCTCCCTTATTTTCTAATGTATTACCAGGAACGAAACAGAACCCGAGCAATCAAAAAGTACCTTTCCAGATCGCTTGAGATGAGCTGCATAAGCCTTCACAAACTCGTGAGGTGAAACATCCTTAACAGTCCTAGCGGTCGCCATTCTCGTAATGCAAAGAACACAGGAAAACACAAGAAGTGATGCAAAAGCGCAGCTCCCTCGTCCTTCTGTGTTCTGCCGCCGTCGTCCTTGTTGAATTTATATGCAGAAGCCCTAGGGTTCTGGCTTTTGCTTGGACCTATCCAATATTAGTTCTTGCTGGGTCCATAACCCAACAAACTTTGGGCTTTTTTATAGGTTATAGTTCTACCGCTCTACTTCTCTTTGGACTTTTGGTGGGATCCATATACAATGTCAGATTCTTATTGTGCCCAAGGCCCCAATGAGGATAATCCTTAAGGTAGCCCTTAAACTTATTTCATTTTCTCAACCTAATTTAATAAGTTATTTTTTAGCCAATAAAGCCTTTATCTTATTTGATCTAAGTTAGATCATCTAACCAATTAAGAAAAAAGCTAATGGAAAAAGTCATAAGGTTAAAAAATGCTTATTTAGAACATCGTTGCGTCAAGCTGTAACGTAGATTAAAGAAGTTGACTAATTAGAGTCTTAATGGCAATATATGATAGTCAAGTGACATTGGAACTATATTTTGGGCTTAATTGACCCAAAAATAAGTTTGAGGGAACCATTGAAAGAACATATTAAGTTTGTACGCTAGTTTATGGTTATTCCTTTTTTCATTAATTCGACTTCTATAGTATTATTTTGCAATCCATTCTATACATATTGCAAAATGATTTAAGGAAAATGCTATTGGAATAATCATTTTGTCTTATTTTTTTATACAATTTGATATGTCATTAAAATAATTGATTTTTTTTAATTTATATAGAACTCGTGATATCAAATGTATTTATTCAGTTAATAATATATAAAAATTGTATAAAAACGTGGGACAAAAATTTGGTTCCTATAGCACCGCCCATGATTTAGCATATTGAAGGGTGAGACCATAACACTAAAAGATCCACTCATAAATGATTAAATGATTGTGTATAAATTGCAATATGCACAAGAGGAAGGGATCACACTCACTTTTGTGAATTGTCTTCCACGTGCCTTTCCAAACAAAGGGAAGTTTGCGCTTGCAAATTACAACGTTGTTGAACGACGCCGTTTATTTAGTATAAAAGTAAAACATCCTCGGTTCTCAGTTCCTATCTTTCTTCTCCATCGCACTTTCAAACCCTAGACTCGACTGAGGCAGATTCAGTCGCCGGCTATCATTCAATCATGGCGATCAAACATCTATTCGCCTTAGCCCGTCGGTCGCGCAAGTCCAATGCCTCTGCTCTTTCTTCATTCCGCTCGTCATCATCAGTCGCCGCCTCTGTCGACGCTCCACCTCCCTCCCCTCCGCCGTCAACGGCCATGATCTACGACAGTTTGGCAGAATCAGTCAAGGCCAAGATCAAGAAGCTTGAAAAACCAGATTCGCGTTTCCTCAAATACGGGTCTCCCCACCCGACTCTTGCGTCTCACACTCATATTCTTGCCTCGCCTGAGACCCGTGTGACTACACTTCCCAACGGCCTCCGTGTTGCTACTGAATCATCCCTCGCCGCCCGCACTGCTACAGTTGGTGTCTGGATCGACGCGGGATCTCGATTTGAGACCGATGAGACTAATGGGACTGCGCATTTCTTGGAACATATGATTTTCAAGGGGACTGATAAGCGGACCGCTAAGGAGCTGGAGGAGGAGATCGAGAACATGGGGGGCCATTTGAATGCCTACACATCCAGGGAGCAGACCACCTATTACGCCAAGGTCTTGGACAAGGATGTCTTTAAAGCTTTGGATATTTTGGCTGACATTTTGCAGAACTCAAACTTCGACGAGAGAAGAATTAGCAGAGAGCGTGATGTGATTTTGCGCGAAATGGAAGAGGTAACTGGAATTATGTTGTTTGAGTTTTTTATGTTATAGTATCACACAAAAATGTTATGTTGTTATTCGAGGGAGTGAAATTTTTTGGTTGGTTCACTGCATAATTCTTTGTCTTTAGCTAAAGATTTGTGATTTAGGAGAAAAAGGTTGTAGCTTTACTCATATCAAGGAAGAAGTAATTACTAGTAAAGAGTGGTTGTTTGTGTGGTTGGTTTTAGTTTTTTGAAAAGGAACGTGGGTTTTCTTGCTAAAATCCTAATATAGGATATTTGTTGGTTTTAGATGTATAAAAAATGTGAACTTTTATTTTTTGGAGAAGATATGCCAGTTTCAGTTCAACAGCAAGTTCTCTTCAGATCTTGTTTGTTGGCTGGTAACCAACAGAGATGTCTGTATTTAATAACTCTTCTATGAGGTGCCTTATTGTTCCTCAATTCATGCTATCTTGCTTGTTTCTAATAAGAAGCTATTATCTTGTTGAATTTCTGTAGGTTGAAGGTCAAACTGAGGAGGTTATTTTTGACCATTTGCATGCAACTGCTTTCCAACACACTCCTCTTGGGAGAACTATTCTTGGACCTGCTCAGAATATCAAGACAATCAGCAAAGCACATCTTCAGAACTACATCCAGACTCACTATACAGCTCCAAGAATGGTATATTTTTCACTTCTTTACCTCCTGTCTGATTAAGTTCTGAAAGTGAAAACTGATGACTCTGTTCTTCTCGTTGCATATCATCCAAAATGCATGAAGTGGCAAAAGTTGATTTTCTAAGTTCTTATAAAATGCTTTATCCTGAAACCTCTTTCAGGTAATTGCTGCTTCTGGAGCTGTTAAGCACGAGGAAATTGTCGAACAAGTGAAGAAGTTGTTTGCTAAGTTATCAGCTGATCCAACCACAGCTTCTCAGTTAGTTGCAAATGAACCAGCTGCTTTTACTGGTTCTGAGGTGGGGAATCTCAACATCAACAAATTTAAGTTCTATCTCCTAAGTTTTTGTTTTCCTATTTGCAGACCTTCTAAGATGTAATTCTTTTCTGCTACTGTTGTGAAATATCAGATTAGGATGATTGATGATGATATTCCTCTGGCACAATTTGCTGTTGCTTTTGAAGGAGCATCTTGGACAGATCCAGATTCCATTGCTTTGATGGTCATGCAGGCAATGCTGGGTTCATGGAACAAGAATGTCATAGGTGGAAAGCACATGGGGTGAGCCTCTTCTCTCTTTCAAATCTGTTTATATGATCTAATTTTAAACTGAGTTACTGAGGTACTTCAGTATTCATTTTTGGGGTCCTTTGTTGCACACATGTATTGATTAGTTTTGAAAAATAACGTGAACAGCTCTGAGCTGGGACAAAGAGTTGCCATTAATGAAATAGCAGAAAGCATGATGGCATTCAACACCAACTACAAGGACACTGGTCTCTTTGGTGTCTATGCTGTTGCCAAGGTGAGGCTGCTGTGTAGAGTTAACATTCTTTGTTTTATTGTCAATTTGGAGCATTCCCATATTATTTTGCCATTTTTCTTGTAATTTTCTATATGATCTGAAAAAGAAAAAATGAAGTTGAAATTTCTCCATATGTGAATTTACTTCCCCAGAGGTTATAAATTGTAAGTTATAAATGCATGTGCTAGCAGGCTTTTATTTTCTGTGCAGCATTTAAATTTGTATGTTCTGTTTACAGCCTGATTGTCTAGATGATTTGACCTATGCTATTATGTATGAGACAACCAAGTTAGCCTATCGAGTTTCAGAAGATGATGTCACTCGTGCTCGTAATCAGGTGACCACCATTACTGCTTAGTTCTCACCTCTCATAATCGATATCTGCTGATTCTTATGGTTATATCTATGTGGGACATCTAATCTTAAGGATGAATAAAAGATGCAAAACAAAGCATGTTGCTAACATGTGATTATGGTGCTTGGCATTACAATTTTATCCTAAAATGATACATAATACATTGCTGGGTTCCTGAATCTAAGATGCCACGACATGGGCAATTGCATAGTTTGGTTTTGAAGAATTTATTCCTTATGTTGTACAAGTTTGTTAAATGGTGATATTCTGCAATTTTTGAGAAAAGCCTGTTGTATTTTGGTTCATGAAAATGGATTCTAATAATGCCAATCTTTTGTCTGTTGGGATGGGATCATATGATAATTGGAACAACTTTTAACCTTATTTGGTCACGGCCACACAAGTGTAGTTCTAACATAAATTTTACGTATGTCTTATGGAAGACTGTTTGCATGACATACCTCAATAACTCATACTTTGTTTTGTTGCAGTTGAAATCTTCCTTGATGCTTCACATAGATGGAACTAGTCCTGTAGCTGAAGATATTGGACGCCAGGTACAAATTTGATTATAGCATCAAATTTATGGTCTAGAATTGGCTCTAAGGTTTGGTGGGAGTAGCAAATGGGTAATCTTTTAAAATTTTTTTTTTTTGTTCTTTCTTTCTTTGGGTCTACTGTTTGGTAGTTTTTAGACTGTCTTGAGTTGCATAGAGTGGACCCAGGATTGTAGTTGAGCAAAAGTAGCTAGTCATGATTTTTGTAGGCTGTCAGTACCGTTCAATTTCTTATTTGTCCCTTTTTGCCTCTGCTTGCAGCTACTTACATATGGTCGGCGAATCCCGTTTTCTGAATTATTTGCAAGGATTGATGCTGTTGATGCAAGCACTGTTAAACGTGTTGCTAACCGATTTATCTATGACAGGGTAAGAATTGCTATCTGACCCAATATTTCTCATCCATTCATCCATTTCTTTGATTGTAAAAGGAATCAAACAAATTTGTGAGGGATGAGAACTAATGTCTGAGCTCCTCTCTAATGTTTCATCATTGTAGGATATTGCAATAGCCGGCATGGGGCCTATCCAAGGTTTGCCGGACTACAACTGGTTCAGACGCAGAACCTACTGGAACCGATACTAGATTACCCTACTTATTATGTTTTAATTTTGGATCATCATTTTCCTTGGCAACCACAAACAGTTTGTTGCTTTTTTACGCAATCCAGGCTCCCTGGTTGGAGACACCTCAGGATGGTATTTTTATTCATTGTTTAGAGGTCCCTGTTCTTGTAACTTAACAATAAGCATCCTGTCTTCCTGTTAATTCGGCTGACATTCCCTGAGTAATTCCTTGCAAAACAAAGCAAATTGTGTCTTTTAGCTGTATATTTCAACTTAATTTGCATTTCATTTTGAGCCTAAAATTTTGGTCCCATTTGTGGGGGCTCAACTGCTTTGTCGCCAGCCCATACACCACTTGGACGAGAGAAGAACATCAATATAAGGAACACCTGTTAACTGTTAACCTGTCCCCTCTATCTTTCACGTATTTTTAATTGGGAATTTTTTAATTTATACTTTACATTAATCATGGTTTTTTAATTAATTTTATATAAATTTTTATATTAAATTTAATTAAAATAAAATAAAATATTTTCTTAAGACACAAGTTAAATAAATTATTTTAATTTTTGTGATAAAAAGTTTTGATTTGTATTAAGACCAAATATAGCATGCAAAAAATCAGGAAAAGAAACTAAAGCAGGTTATTTCTTACACTAGTTTTTATGGGGAAAAAAAAACCATTAACTTTCTCTAAGATAAATGAACTATTATTATAAATGTTTTTTTTTTATTTTAATTATACAATGAGAGATAATCATCTCTCATATTTTATCTCATTTCACCCACATAGGATAAGATTCGAATTTAAAATCTTTTACTTTTAACGAAAAAAAATAATTACTAAACTATTTAGGTCGTTATTTATGTTTCTTTTTAATAAAAAATAATATCTAATTTAAATTGTATACTTAAAAAATGATTTAAATTATTAAATACAAACATAATAATTTTTATTATTTGAAGCAATCCTCGTATTTAATAACTCATATTTTACAAATAGAAAAAATTCTTCTTTTTTTTTTTTTTTCTAGTATACCGACGAAATAAAACGGTAAAACCCTAAAATTGCACAATAATGAAAATAAAATTGAATTTCTTAACTGAACAGATTGCTGAACTGAACCTGCCAAATTTCCCTCTCTTTTTCGTTGTTTCCATCTATAAAAGCATCGATAGAGTGGGTACGAATAGAGACCGCCGCGACCTTCGTAAGTATCGACTCACATTGTTTGCTTCTCTCTACTTCCACTCCAAATCTTTCTTTCTTCTTTCTCCTCCTCCTCCTCCTCCTCCTCCTCTGGTTTCTCTCCCCATTTCTACGAATTCATCACCCCTTTTTTGTACTTTTTGTTTTCTTGTTTCAGCTATTTATATAGAGAGAGTAGGGCTCGTTTTGGGTTCAAGAATTCCAGGAGGAAAATGGGTTCAATCTCCGTTCCCTGCCCCAAAGTTGCTTCGCTTGTTCGAGTTGGATCTAGTGGGCAACCTTCAAAGAACCACCAAAATCGTTTGGTATTCGGATCCTCGCACCGTCAATCCGCATTGTCCCTTTCCCGGGTCAGTCTGGTGCTTTCTTCAACTTTTCTCGCTTCATTTGAATCTTCTGCTTCTGAAACAAACTGGGATTTGGGTTAATTACCTTCAGATTTTTGTTTCATGGTTGTGCTTGAGCTATTGGTATAAGGGTCTAATTTTTGGGATTTGTTCTCTTGGTGATATGCGTTGCTTTTATGCTCTATCTAAGGTCAGATGGATTTACTTTGTTGGGATTGTCTCTGATTCAACCTTAACTGTGATCTCAAGCGTATTTATTTTTCTGAAAAGTTTGTTGTGCCCTTATTTTCGCGGGGTGGAATAGCAGTTGCACTGTTTCAATTGTCTAGACTCGATAAATATAGCTTAATTGCGCTCTACTTTGCAGTAACAAGTTAAAGTTTTGAATGAATGCCAATGGAGTATAATGGTCATGGGACCATCTCTCATGATCTCTATGTGCTTTGTTGTGCCATGGATTTGCAGGTGACAAGGACAAGATATTTTAACGTAAAAAGTTCATTATTTGTGAAATCATTGATGAATACTGATGTCCTTCTCTTCATGAGTAAAAAACTATAAATTAGATTCCATAATGAAAATTGAAAAGTAGTCATGGTAAATTATTTTGATTTTATGCTGTCTACTGATATAACTGTCTTTTCTGCAGTGGTCAAGGAGGCAGGAAGCTGCCGTGTGCAAGGTGCGTACACTGCTGAATGAGATTCTACTATTAACAACAAAGTTTAAATTTATCATATTTACTTGTGGTTTTGTAAATTAATAATAAATGGACCTTTTTTACCCTAGGTTGCTGTAGGGAAATCTTCAAAACCTGCACCATTAGTTGACACTAGCTCTAAAGATGTATTGTCAAAGGGTAAAGATGAGCCTGGAGAGAAAAACACTCTAGATCCATCATCCATTTCGGAATTTATGACCCAAGTATCAGACCTTGTCAAGTAAGCAAAGAATCTCTGAGTTCTAAGAACATATGTACACATCTATTCTTGATAATATGCATCCATTTTGTCATCGGTGCTGATGCATCTTTAATCAGCAGACTTGTTGATTCGAAAGATATTGTGGAGCTGCAACTAAAGCAGTTGGACTCCGAGATTGTAATAAGAAAGAAGGAAGCTTTGCAGCCAGTGGCACCATCACCACCTTCAATTTTCACAACGCCACAACCCATGCCTCATTTAATGTTTCCCACTCCAGTCCCTGCAGCTCCTGCTCCTGCTCCTGCTCCCACTCCCACTCCCACTCCTGCAAACCGGGCCCTTCCAGCACCAGCTTCAGCATCCTCGTCTCCTGCAAGTACAACCAAATCATCTCATCCACCACTCAAAAGCCCCATGGCTGGAATCTTCTACCGATCTCCTGCACCAGGTGAACCACCATTTGTCAAGGCAAGTTCTTTTGTCCTTATGTTAGTAACTCACAGGGATTGTGAAACCAGGAGAGAAAAGTGTGTATATATTTCAGTAAGCTTATCTTTTCTTTCATAATTTTCAACTAAAATAATGTTTCCACTTTCCTCTAATGCTCTGCAGGTGGGAGATAAAGTCCAGAAAGGTCAAGTTCTCTGCATTATTGAGGCTATGAAACTGATGAATGAAATTGAGGTATGCATCCTCTTTTTTCTCTGTTCATGTAGTGCCTTTATTGAAATTGAAAATAATATATGAAAACATACAGCGGATTCCTATTTCTTCGTTTTTATTCAAAATTCTGTTACTGTTCATTTGTCTTCTCTGTGGGGTTTCAAATGCTGAAGTTTGGTTATTACTTAAATGATTTGCTTTTGGTTTTGCAGGCTGATAAGTCTGGAACCATAGCTGAGATATTGTTAGAGGACGGGAAACCAGTTAGTGCCGATACGGTAATACTCCCTCCCTTTGTCTCTTCGTTACCTTTGCCCGTCTACATTTGTCTTAATCATCTATGTTGCCGAATGCAGCCTCTTTTCGTTATCGCACAATGAAACAACTTCGTGAACAATATGCAAGCCCTGTGGCAGTCATTGTTCTGGAATCCACGTCTGGCAGCCATATATTTTGGTTCGGTTTGATTCAGTTGATGGTTAAAAAATCATAGCGTCTGCCCTCTCTTGTTGGATAAGCATTGTAAAATCTTAATTCATTTTTCTTTGTTTTCAGCGATGCACCATATTTAAGAAAAACACAATAAGGTTTTTCAGCTTTCAATTTGCAAATTCAAAATCATTGTTCTGCTATACGCTGGTGAATAGAATGGTGCATTTCAGCTAAGGTTGATTTATTCAGTAAAACCCTACGAATATGAAACAAATATAATAAAAACTCAAATATGGGAGTTAGCCCCTCTAGAAAAGGAAAAAAAAAAAGGCGGGGGGGGGGTGGGGGGGTGGAATAAAGTGGTAAACTCCAAATAAAACAAGAGAACAAAATGATGTTCACTATGAAACCAGAACGAAAGAAATATATTACACTGGCTTTTTCCTCAACAATCTAACTAGTTTGCACCAGTGTTACAACAAATCATTTGCCTCTCCGGCATCAAATCTTAAGATTGGGAGTGGTTGGCTTTTGATGGAAACAAAGAATGAAGATTGATTGTATAGACAAGCAAAATTACAAAAAGGAAACAGAACAAGGAAGCACTCCATCCTACCGGTGCCAGGAATAACACTGGACGCCAGAAAAATGCTTTCTTCTGCTTCCAGAATTCTATCTTTTTTGCTCTTATAGTATCCTATTCCTATTCTTTTCCATTGACATAATGTACATGTTAGCCTAAATGTCAAAATATTTACAACTACCACCGTTGTCTACCCCCTCTACTGTTGTTACCTTTCCTGCCGCCATAGCTTAACCTCCGAGCTACTGCCCACTCATCGTCATCGCCATCTTCATCATCTACACGACCTTTCGCCCCTCTTCGGGGAGCAGGGCGCTTCCTTTTGATGTTCGCAGTGTATGTTGAGTAATCAACAGTATCTTCCTTTAAAGCATTCTTAAATTCCTGTGCAATAATGGAGCAAGTGAGTGACGGCTGAAATAGTTAAGCAAGAAAGTGAAAGAAAAAAAAATTTTTAATGCCTCATCTCCATTTCTGCTAGTGAAGATTCTTTTGTTTAAAACAATGTTAACAATACCTGATATCTCTGCACCAAATCTTGATAAGTGGACGGTAGACTAGTGTGTGTTTCACTAATGTCAAAGGGAATGTTCTGCCTTGAGAGAACCTCCCCCGATGTTAGGGGTTCAGTTGGAGAAAATGCCTGGTAGAGAATGAGATCATTGTATTTAGTGAGTCGAACTACTACTATCAAAGAAAAGGGGAAATAACAGATCACAGCTAAATAGTGGCGTAAGGATATAAATATTAACCTGGCAACGGGAGTCATTCAAGCTATACACAATTTTTAGGTGCCTCTTCAGCTTCAAAAGAAGCTGCAGTGCAATAGCAGAAAGACAGTCAGCCTGCACAGACACCAAAGCAAAAGATGTCAAAATCAAATATCTCAGAAAACAAAACTACTAGTATATTAAATTGACCCAAGAAAATTACTGTAGTTGAAGAAAATTCTCAATTTTTTAATTTTGCGCAGACCTAAAAAGGAACTTCCACTCAAGCAACTTAGCTAGAAGTGGGCAAAATATGTGTTAATCTACAAAATCAATCTATATTTAATGGAAAAAAAATCTATTTCAGGAAAGGAAAATGCATTTCCCAGGTTTCTTAATAACCACCTGTATCTTTTCCACATCATCTTCAGAGATGACACGAGATTCAGCGGCCCTCATGCCATGCAATTTTGCCTCTAGATCAGGAGTATGAAATGAGATAGAGTGGTGTGGAAGCTCCTGTCCAGCTGTCCCATTCAAATCAATTGTTGTTGTAGAATAGGTGGCCTGAGCAAATAGCTCCTCCTGAATTGTTCCATTCAGATCCACCATGGTCATTTGATTGAAAATAGGCTGAACTGGGTTCTGTTGAAATGTCCCATTTTCCATAGCTGCTCTCTGAGCATCCCTCTGAAGCAAATGCAAACTCAAGGCTTTCAAATTTGCCTCAAGTGCTCCAGCCCTGACTTGTATAATTCGATTTATGGAATAGATTAAATAAAGGGGCTCATCAGGTGATGTGAAAGGCAACAAAGCAAGAACTTCCGTGCAATACCTGTAAAGAGGAATTAACTTCTAAGTAATAATTATCAAGTAGCATGAGAATACATTGGGACTTGTGCCAAGTAACTCACATCAAAAAAGGTATAACTGAATCATTCCAGCCTGGGTTATCGAACTTCCGGATTATTGAATACATAAATTTGTTCCTAGAAACCCTGTTTCCACGAATGAGCTTGTAAATTCGGGAAACTCCCAGCCTTCCTTGAGTTAAGGAGCCACCTTCAGATTTGCCCTTCGAATTTCCAGGAAGCTTAGATTGGGCCTTTTCATTTACATTTCCAGAATTAGCACCAATGGACCTCATGAAGATAAATGACATCTGAAGGCCATCCCCCAAACGGCTTTCAAAAAAAGCAGGGTACCTGCAGAATGAAGGTTTTATTAGTTGCCATAGTAAAGTAGACAGGACTTTAAATTTGATAAGCATTCAGAAGTCATTACTTTTCATTCATATTCATCAACAAGTGATGAGCCAACTTTTGGTTCACCTCAAGGGGATCTGCTTCAAGTGCTATAAGGTATGGGACACAAGTAATAGGATGAACAAGACCTTGACGCAGCACCACTTCCACTATCTGCAATTGTAACATAGCTAGAATTATGATACAAAGGAAGTTCTTATTCCAAAAAGCAAATAACAAGCAAGATTAAACTCACAATGGGGAACAAAACCATACAATTTATTTCAAACAATGACTAACTCCAGTAGTCAGATAGCAGAACTGTCATTATGTTCTAATTCAAGGTTTTTAAGTATCTGTTCATTCAAGAAAAGAAAAAGGCTCCGCCATATAAACAGCTTTGTACACTCAATTTTTGCAATCAACTGCTTCACAGTATACTGCAACATACAGTCATTTTCCATCCAAACACAGATACTGCAGTAATTCTAACATCTATAAGTTAATTCCTAGCGAAGAACACAGAAATGAACTCTCACCTTCAGGGCAGATTGTCTAACTTGTTCATTTATGTCCAAGCATCTCCCAAGAATATTATCCCAATACAACTGAACTATACCCCCACAAATGTTCGTATCACCTGCACCTGCAGCAACGGGGACACTATGGCCACCTTCTACAGAACGATGAACTGCATCATCATTGGCTTTATCTGTTCCCATCTGACTTTCTGCATCAAGAAGATACTCGTACAAATTTTGCAACACTTGCATCTGGTTCAGAACAGAATGACTTAGAATGCATTTTGCATGGGGCAACTTAAGTAAGAAGGGAAAATCTTTTACCTTTAGGCGAATGTTAGACCCTGGTGATAAGGCTGCCTCTAATATTCTTCCAATGTCCTTTTCCAACATATACTCTGGCCTAGCAATAAGAACAAAGCCTAACGCCTAAAAAGAGATAACAAAGGACTGATTAGCAACAAGTAGATATTAGCATCAAAGAATGTTCCAGACTCTAGGAATGCAGAAGCAAACAGTAGTGAGAAGAGAAGAGAGAGGCTCACCTGCAAAGATCTGACTTTTATACTGAAGTCTTCAACAAGAAGATATTTTTTGAACAAACTAATACTGCTGGCAACATCAATGCTTTTATTACAGGTGGCAACAAACAAAGAGCTTCCATAGCGTATAAGCAATCCAAGGCAGAAAAGAGAACGCCCCACTTGCTGAAAAGCCATAAATGAGTTGCCCAAACAAGCTTATTATTCAACAAGCAAATAGAGGCTTCATATAAGCACATTTTGCATAGACCAACTCTTTCTAAAAAGATAATAATCAAAGAATATTTCTCCAAACTCCACAATCCTAAGAGTTGTGGGAAGCATAGTAGCCACCTAATACAAAGGAGCTGAGATATATAT